ATGTTATTTTAATTGAAATTTGATTGATTTTTATTTGCTAAAGGGGACTCAAAAAACCATTTTTTTTGAATTTCCGTTTCTGTAAAAATGACCCCATATCTTGAGGTCTGATCTGTATACTTTATGAATATTTTTTGACGATAAAACTATAACTTATAATTCTTATGCTTATTAAATAAAACTGTATCATACAAAATTTTAAGTGAATTTCATTTGATTATTTTAAACATAAAAATGATTATACCTTTAAACGATTATGTTAAAGTTCATAATTTATAAATAACCTTGATTCTAAACATTTTTATTGTTTTATCATTTAAGTCAATTACTTTGTACAGTATATAGAATAAAGTGAAACACTTTTATATGAAGTGTTATTTAATAGATAAGATTAGTACTCATTCACACTCATTACTGTAATATATAAAATTCAATTACAGTTTCAGATCAATTGTAATTTGATACAGTATTAATAAGCACAATTATATATAATTATAATACAATGTCTAATTCAAAAGACTTTAATGGGAAAGTGGTGTTAATAACGGGCTCGAGTGGTGGTATCGGTGCCACGACTGCCATAGAGTTCAGTCGCAACGGCGCTAATGTTGTGATAACCGGAAGAAACGCTAATAACTTATCAGAAGTGGGGAAAGAGTGTCAGAATGTATCACCGAAAGGATTACCGCCACTGGAAGTGGTGGCAGACGTTAGTAAAGACGATGACTGCAAACGACTCATTGATTCAACGATTAAAATATTTGGAAAACTCGATGTTTTGGTGAATAACGCGGGTTTTGGTATGGGATCACTCATTACGGACGCAAACATTTTGGACAAATATAAGCAGATTATGGATACAAACCTGCGTTCAGTCGTATATTTGACTCATTTATCTGTTGAACATTTGGAGAAAACAAAGGGAAATATAATTAACATGTCAAGTGTTGCCAGTATGAAACCAGTGAGTATTGTAATCTAGATATTTGTTTTAAAGAGTCTAGATAAATATTTGCCCACATCATCTTGAACAGTTTTGTGGATTCTCTCTATATTCAATGTCTAAATGTGCCCTGGATATGTTCACCAAGTGCCTGGCTCTCGAATTGGGACCCAAAGGCATTCGAGTGAATACAATAAAGTATAGAATTTGTTTGAATTATGAAATTTGTATAACAATTACTGAACGCTTATCTGTCAGTCCGGGTCACGTGAGGACTAATTTCCTTCAAGTGGTCGGCTATTCAAAGAGTCAATCGGATGCCAGATATGATGAGTTGGCCAATAAGTATCCGCTCGCAAGAGTTGGCGAGTCTAAGGACATCGCAAACGCCGTCCTATTCATGGCTTCCTCGGAGTCCTCATTTGTGACGGGAATTAACTTTTTGTCAGATGGAGGCGCCCTTTACTCCAACATTTGATTTAATGTCACAAATTCTAATAAATTGAGAATTTAGTTATCATTTGTTTGCTTTATTTATTAATTAAATTCTTGATAAAAATTATCATACAAAATGATTAGTAAATATAAAGTGCTTAGATAATTAAGAATAATTAAACAATCATATTTGTATCCGAAATAAATAATTAATTCTAACTGCTCAATTTAAGGTTCTTGTATTTTAATTCTATCTAATTTAGTAAAAATACTATGTCAATCAATGATAAAGTTATAAAAAATTATATATCATGTTTTATTTATTCATAAAATTAATAAATTATAATATATTTAATAGTAATTCAGTAGTAGAATAATAAATCACTTGTATTTTTAAATAATTATCAATAAAAATAGAATTCAACTATTTATCAGGTATTAAAGTATTGTAGATAAAATAATAGAGTTTGCGTACTATAAAAACGAACTATTTAGCTGACCTTGGTTAGTCCTGTTTATTCACTATATAAGCGCGTTATACTGTACTTACAGTTAGAATATTAAAAAGTTATCTGAATCATTTATTTATTTTAGCTTTTGAATTTCATATAAGAATATGCCAGCAATTCGTGATTTCAGTGGACGGGTAGTTCTGATCACAGGCTCGAGTGGTGGCATCGGAGCCGTGACTGCAACAGAATTCTCTAAATCTGGAGCTCAGGTCGTGATCACCGGTAGAAACGCTAAAAACTTGTCAGATGTCGGCAAAGAGTGTCTGAAAGTATCACCGAAAGGGTTGAAAGCACTGGAAGTGGTGGCAGACGTTAGTAAAGACGATGACTGCAAACGACTCATTGATTCGACAATAAAATCATTTGGAAAACTGGATATTCTGGTGAATAACGCTGTGTATCACCGAAAGGATTGAAAGCACTGGAAGTGGTGGCAGACGTTAGTAAAGACGATGACTGCAAACGACTCATTGATTCGACAATAAAATCATTTGGAAAACTGGATATTCTGGTGAATAACGCGGGATATGGAGTGGCCTACTCTATAACTGATGCCAATATTCTGGACAAATATGACGGCGTTATGGCCACTAACCTGCGGTCAGTCGTATATTTGACTCATTTGTCTGTCGAGCACTTGGAGAAGACTAAGGGAAATATAATCAACATTTCCAGTGTTGCGGGACTTAAACCGGTATGAATGCCATTCACTACTAATACTGTCTTTTGATTGTTAATTAAGAACTATCAATATTGCCCTATACTGTAGATTCGTGGAATGGCATTGTACTGTATGTCTAAATGTGCCATGGACATGTTCACTAAGTGCTTGGCACTCGAATTGGGACCCAAAGGCATACGAGTGAATGTCATCAAGTAATTGAATTAATTTTTGTTAAAAACATTATATTCACATATAGTATAATACATGTCTGTCTACCGCCTGTAGTCCCGGTGCTGTGAAGACTAACTTCGGGCCGGCAATGGGTATGTCACAACAACAATACGATCAAGTGTTAGAAGATAGGGCTAAGTCATTCCCATTGAGAAGAGTGGGTCAGTCCATAGACATCGCGAATATCATTCTCTTCTTGGCTTCGGACGAGTCTTCGTTTGTGACCGGAATCAATGTGGTGGCCGATGGCGGGGGGTCTTAATGCACCCGTTTCTGGCAATTTCGGACAAAACAAATAGTCTATTTTAATATCACTTTATTTTTCAAATATTTAACAAATTATGAATCAATTTTCACAGTTATTTAAATGATTACTAAAATTGAACAGCACAATATATTTTAGAAAATTAATTTTCAAGATATGCTTTTGTTTTGTTAGTTCTCATAAAATAAAGAAATATTTAATTCATTAATTATATATTATTTCTTATAAAATAAATAAACACTTTAATAAAAATTAAAAATGGTTAAGACATCAGACATGTAATCAGGGGACCCGGGTTTGATTCCCGGCGCCTGCTTTTAATACAGTTTCTCTTTTCAATGATTTCTACTCCCTTTTCCCCATATATCTCATATAAAAATAAGTCATTGAAAAAACATTTAAAAAAATAAAAAATGTTTATTATAAATTGATTAAAAGGAATTAAACAGGAATTTGATAAATTCAAGAATTGGCAACTTTTAGATAATGTAAGTTATATCAAATAATAACAAGTTTATCCAATTTTGTTCATAAAGTAATATGTGTTTTATGATTGCTCAAATTAATGTTACAACTTAAAATATTATAATTTAATTAAGACAGTAAGATTTATTCATTTACAGCAATACTATGATCCTATACTCTTAGTGGATTATATTTAGGGCTGGTTTTCAAATTATCATCTGAAAAACTATTTCTCCGGTACTAAATCATGAACTTTAACATAATCATTTAAAGGTATTATCATTTTTATGTTTAAAATAATCAAATAAAATTCACTTAAAATTTTGTATGATAAAGTTTTATTTAATAAACATAAGAATTATATAATTTTATTCCCAAAAAATATTCATAAAGTATACAGATTATATTAATTTTATTGAATGTCACTTAATTTTATTGTATTTTGAAAATTTAAAACTAAAAACTTGAAATTTTTAGTTTAATATATTTAGAATATCCAAATATTAAACTCGAAATAAAAATAATATTTATGAAGTTATATAATCTTGATAATATCGAAACCCCTAATGAGTTTAGGCCCACTCATGGCCTCCGTCGACAAACATATTAAATCCCGTAACGAATGAACACTTATCAGAGGCCAAGAAGAGTACGGCGTTTGCCGTATCTTTAGGCGTCCCTAACCTCTGCACCGGAAGTTTGTTTATGATTTGCGCAAACATTTCGTCCGATTGCTGGCGAGTGAAACCCATTGCTATAGCAATGTTTGTATTGACAGCTGAAGGACTAAACGGACACACATTTATCATTTATAATCAATTGACTGCTAATTAAATAAAGCATTCATTACTCACTTTACGGAATTGACACGAATTCCTTTGGGCGCCAATTCCTGTGCAACACATTTGGTCCACATATCTAAACAGCATTTTGACATATTGTATATGAAGTTTGAGGCAAACTATAAGATTTATGAAATAATTATTTTCAATTATTTTGTATTCATTTATAATTGAGTTTAAAACTCACGAGTTTACGACTCGCCACACTTGATATAAAAATCATATTTCCTTTGGTTTTCTCTAAATGTTTGCCACATAAATGAGTCAAATATACGGCTGAACGCAGATTTATGTTCATTATTCTGTCGTATTTGTCCAAAACATTTGTGTCATTAATGGTGGACAAAATGCAAATACCGGCACAATTCACAAATATATCCAATTTGGCAAANACTTGATATAAAAATCATATTTCCTTTGGTTTTCTCTAAATGTTTGCCACATAAATGAGTCAAATATACGGCTGAACGCAGATTTATGTTCATTATTCTGTCGTATTTGTCCAAAACATTTGTGTCATTAATGGTGGACAAAATGCAAATACCGGCACAATTCACAAATATATCCAATTTGGCAAATGTTTGGATCGTCAGATCAACAATTCTTCTGCAGTCCTCTTCTTTAGTAATATCTGCGACCACTTCAAGAGGTTTGAAGTCATTTGGAGAGCACTTCTGACATTGTTTGGCTACTTCTGCGACCAATTCCTCTTCGAGTCCATTCACCACAACGTGAGCGCCGGCTCTCGAGAATTCCAATGCAATTCCGGCTCCGATTCCACTGCTTGAACCACTTATTAAAACTACTTTCCCATCAAAACTTAACATATTTTCTAATTATTTATTTATTTGAATAATATATAAAATTTTAAATTGCTTATTCCTAAATTATGGTATATATTACCTTTAGTAAATTTACTTATCAACTCTATTTGATATGTTTATTTAGTTTTAAAGCACTTTTATATAAACAAATTTTTATCAGTTTATAAATCATTATACTGTTAAGGAAATTTTTAGTACAACCGGACTTTCCAAGTACAGTACAGTACAAGTATTCTTAATGTGGACTTATTTTGAACTAAATATCTTTAAAATTAAACTTTGAATTTAAAATATTTAATATTAGTGAAAAATAAATGTTATAAATGATAAAATATTATTTAATCACTACATGGAATATAAATTTAAATTGTAACTATTAAATTATATAAAAATATTTTTAATGACCAATTAATAATAAATAAACTTTAATGAGTCTATTGTAACATAAAATATAATTAATATCCTTAAGTCTTCACAATTCAAGGTTTGTGTAATTCAATTGAATATGAATCAAATTATTTGTCATAAACAGGATTTTGAAACAAACACTTGAACAAAACATAAAATTATTTTATTAATTATTCTATTATGCAGTTTATTATTCAGTTAATACAATGAATTTCATAATTAAAATAAATTAATATAATAATAATACTAATCAATTAAATTATGAATTAAACTTAATTTTGTTAGTATTATTAATATACATTGATTCTGAGCAATTAAATATTGTGTGTACAAATAAATATAGTGTACAATTAACATTGTTGTGGATTAGTCTGGGTTAGGGACTTGAACGGTGCCATTAAGATCGTTTCCATCTGAGACAAAGTTAATTTCGGTGACAAATGAAGATTCGTCTGAACCTAAGAAGAGAATTGCATTTGAGATGTCTATCGATTCGCCAATTCTTCCCAAAGGATATGACTTCGCACTCGACTCTAGAAGTGCTCTCTGGGTGTAGTCGTCTATACCCATAGCCGTCATGAATGAAGTCCTGACACCAGCGGGACTATCATGTCATGTATTGTATTAATATTTATACACTTCCTTAAAAGTCCTATCAATGTGTCGAGCACTTGGAGAAGACTAAGGGAAATATAATCAACATTTCCAGTGTTGCGGGACTCAGACCGGTATGAATGCCATTCACTACTAATACTGTCTTTTGATTGTTAATTAAGAACTATCAATATTGCCTGTAGCTTGCTCCAATGGCATTGTACTGTATGTCTAAATGTGCCCTGGACATGTTCACCAAGTGTTTAGCACTCGAATTGGGACCCAAAGGCATACGAGTGAATGTCGTCAAGTAATTGAATTGATTTTTGTTAAAAACATTATATTCACATATAATACATGTATGTCTACCGCCTATAGTCCCGGTGCTGTTAAGACCAACTTCGGGCCGGCGATGGGTTTCTCACAACAACAATACGAGCATCTGTTGGAGGACAGGGCTAAGGCATACCCATTGGGAAGAGTGGGTGAGTCCATAGACATCGCGAATATCATTCTCTTCTTGGCTTCGGATGAGTCTTCGTTTGTGACCGGAATCAATGTGTTGGCCGATGGCGGGGGTCTTCATGCACCCGGTTCTGGCAATTTCGGACAAAACAAATAGTCTATTTTAATATCACTTTATTTTTCAAATATCTAACAAATTATTAATCAATTTTCACAGTTATTTAAATGATTACTAAATTTGAACAGCATAATATATTTTAGAAAATTAATTTTCAAAATATGCTTTTGTTTTGTTAGTTCTCATAAAATAAACAAATATTGAATTCATTAATTATAATATATATTATTCCTTATAAACACTTTATAAACACTTTAATAAAAATAAAAAATGTTTATTATAAATTGATTAAAACGAATTAAACAGTAATTTGATAAATTCAAGAGTTGGCAACTTTTAAATAATGTAAGTTATATGAAATAATAACAAGTTTATCCAATTTTGTTCATAAAGTAATATGTGTTTTATGATTGCTCAAATTAATGTTACAACTTCAAATATTATAATGTAATTAAGACAGGAAGATTTATTCATTTACAGCAATACTATGATTCATATGAGTCTATGAATATAATTTATCAAATATCCTTGCTTAAAATGATCTGGGAACTAAACTTGAGACAATCTGTGAATGTTCGTGTAACGTTATATACGGTTAGAGAGAACGTGTCAAACATGTGACACAAATGTAAACAAAACATCATTTTTAGTGATTTGGTCTCTAATTTGGTCTCTCATTTGGTTTCAACCGATTGTCTCAGAAATGCAATCAAACGCTCAAAATGAGTGCAAAGCAAGTGATGAACAAACTATTGATAACACCATTAATGACACGACAGGTCACACCACTTCAGATGACACACAACGCGTGATGTCCAAAAATCAGATGAAGAAACTGTTGCGACACAAGAAATGGTTGGAAACGAGACCTGAGAGGAGACGACAGGAAAAGGAGAGAAAGAAATTGAAGGCAAAGAAGTTGAGGGAAGAGGGCATCGAAATGAAGAGCAGAAGCGCTCTTCGCAAGCAATGGATCCCAATGAGTGAATCCAAATGCAAAGTCTCTGTTTGTATTGACTGTGACTTAAGAAATTGAAGGCAAAGAAGTTGAGGGAAGAGGGCATCGAAATGAAGAGCAGAAGCGCTCTTCGCAAGCAATGGATCCCAATGTCTGAATCCAAATGCAAAGTCTCTGTTTGTATTGACTGTGACTTCGAGGACTATATGGAGGACAACGACATGAAGAAGTTAGTCAAACAGATCGGCCGGTGCTATGCCTTCAACAGGCATTCCTCAGCACCGGTGCAGCTGTACATCACATCCATTAAGTCGAAGATCAAAGAGGCATTCGTGAGATCACAGCCCGGATTCGCCAATTGGGACGCCATTTGTGTGGACAGGCATTGGAGTGAAGTGTTTGCAGACAAACAGAAAGTGATTTATCTGTCGAGTGATTCCGAGGACATAATCCCCGAACCAAACAGTATTTGTGAGTCCAATGACTATGTCTTCGTAATCGGAGGACTAGTCGATCACTTGTCTGTATTTCCTAACACGGTAGCTAACCGACAGGTTGTCAGACATTTTGTGCCTTCTGAAGGCTAGCTGCTCATGTAGCTTTACTGAGTTGCTTCCCAAAACCGGCAGTTAGTGCCAAACGAGAGAAGTGACCACTCATGAGATGATTAGTAGTAATTTGTTTGTCTTATCATTTGTCTAGTGTTTGAAATCATGTTATTGGCGTCCAATGGATCGTCTAGTGATTGGAGTGATATCTTTAAGAAAGTGATTCCCATCAGAAAAATGAAACAATGATTGATTGGATTAATTGATTGCATTAATGAAGAGTTTTATTAATTTTGATGGAAAAGATTTTTTTTATTAGAAATAAATTCATTTCATTTGTTAACAAAACTATTGAACCGAATAATAATGAAGAATAAGGAGTCTATTCGGTCAATACTTTGGATGTGACCAATGAATTCAAGATATCAATTGACTTTTGATCAGATTTAGTGAGCGATTCCACGCATCCATTGATGGATTGTTTGCCGGTCGGGGACTCGAATTTAGTGATCCATACTATCTCTTGGAAAACGAAATATATGTCGAAGAGATCGTCATTCATGCGGTCATTCATTGCATTTGTCTCCTCTGTTGTCGTGTTTTTCATCACTTCCGCGGACACAAAGTCCGCCAGTTTTAGATCAAATGAGTTCTCATTCTTGTTATCTTTAAAGTAGAGAATGTTTGACGTCTTGATCCGCGAGTGAGTGATGTGTTGTT